AAATCTCTTGACCAATGATGATAAGATTCTAATTTTCTGTCTACTCAAACATATTCCTATTAACCTTCCTCAAGTCATCTTTCATCATCTTAAAAGGTACATCACTTCTTCCAGGAATTTGAACAAGTCTTTTATTCCCTATGGAAGAGTCTTGTCAGAAATCCTTGTCCAAGGTGAAATTGTAAGAATTATCCGATGGCTCTGTGTTGGTTCTTGTGATGCCTTGAAAGAAGATAAGTGTGAGACCTTTGATGATTAGTGGTTTTAATAGTTTCAATTTGGATGTGTTTGTCTGATTTTGTTTTCTTTCTTTTAATTATCGTATGTTATTATGTTTGTTTATCCAATGTACTTCATATTTTTATGAATTCAAGCTTAAATGTTCTGATGTCTTTTGATTCTTGTATGTGCATTAAACTTCTCAAAAATGAATTAAGAATTTCTTATATCTTTTTTATTATGACAAAAAGGGGGAGAAAGAAAAATGTTTTTGATTAAATAATTATTCTCAAACCCTAATATCCGCATTCTCATGACATTCTAACATGATATAATTTCTAAACTACCTAGAACATTTATATTTGAAACATTATGCTCACACTCTGACAAATCTAGTTCTAATAAAGAACCATCATGTTTAAAATGTTCTAAGAAAGCATGGATTATTTGATAATCTCAAAGGGTTAAATCTAATGATAGATCAGATTCATAAAGGATAACATTGCTCTAAGTTCTGAAAGATCATAAGTTTATGATTCAAGGGGAGATTGTTTATCCCAAGGGAAGTTTCCAACTCAGAGGTGTTTTCTAACCTCTTATAAATTATTTTGTTCATAATTTAACCCTGTAAAATTGTTTCATCAAAATACACATTTTCATCATCAAAAGGGGGGAGATTGTAAAAACAAGATTTGGATCTATGTTTAATCTTTGAGTTTTGGTGATAACAAGCATATGTTTTATGAAGAACAATTTTAATTCTAATGGTTTCCTTAAAGTTCATATACATGATTAGAATTCTGGATAGTCTTAATCAATATATCATCAGAATCACATTACCACTCAAAAGAAGAACCATTTATTTCTGTTTCTAACGAAACATTAGTAGTTCTATGGAATGCTGAATGTTAGACAAGAAAATAATCACAATGAGTTTCAGTAGTTCTATGGAATGCTGAATGTTCGACAAGAAAAGAATCTCAATGAGTTTCCAAGAAGAAAGAGTTTTTGATAAGTTGTTGCTACAAGATCATAAATCAAAAGTATATAAGAAACAAGCTTATAATGATGACGATCGGAAGTCAAGATTCGGTCATTAGAAGAGCTGCTGCTTGGATTCTATAGGTGAATTCAAGACTCTGAACATATGTGAAGAAAGATTCTACTCCAAGATCAGAAGTCAATATTTTCTCATCAGAAGAGTTGTTGCTTATAGTTCTGAAGACAAAGTCAAAATTCTGAAGACTCAGAGATTTCATGGAATACGTACCTCCATTCAACATCAGAAGTATTCCATTAGAATAAATGATTAAAGAAAGAAGACCTTATGGACTCACATCTAATCAACATCTCAAAGTCCATCAGAAGACAAGATCAAAGGATGATATCTTCTCAAGATAATCTACTCAATAGAAGTAATATCCTAAAGAAGACAAATATCATCAGAAGAACCAGTGCACTCAACAGAAGAACTATTGAGGCAATTTCTATAGAAACATCAGCAGTTCTATTGAATGATGAATGTTCATTAGAAAGGGAATCAAGTGTGTTCTAAGGAAAGTGTTACTCTCATATCATAAAACATATACGCTTCCAACCCAAGAAAGAAAGGAATTCATGACCAAACAACAAAGATGTAGTTTACCATATGTTGTTGCTTTCAGCTTAATCCAAAGATCAGAATTCAAAGGATCAGAAAGAAGGAACTCAATTTCAAATCAGATGTACTGATATAAGTTGTTTCTTCTGAAATCAGACATCAAATATACAGCTTAGAAAAGCTGATAATTAAGAATCAAGGATTAAGTCAAGAAGTAGATCCGAAAAGCTTTCACTCAAAGAAGAAATTGTTCATCAGATAAGCTATTTCTTGTATATCTAGAGAAAATGTTAAATTATCTAAAAGACCATGACTCTATAATAAAGAAGAATCTTCTGGATCATTATCACTCCTCAAATAAAAAACAATCCAGCGAGAAGAAAAGAATCAAGCTCAAGAATTTAAAGACTTGAGAATCAGATAGGTTGTTGTCATAATATCTGATTTCAATGTATATCATCAAAAAAATATTTTGATATCTTCATCAAAAGAGCTTTCGTGAACTATCAAGACTTGTTTTATTCAAATAGGTTGTTGTCGATCATTCTCAAAATAAGAATCCAATATTGAAAGAATCTGAAATGAAACATCTTCTCAACACAAATATCAATCTCTCATATCAGAAAAGAAATTTGCCTTCAAGAGTAGTTCTAGTTCAGAATAAAAGCTTTGTGTTTCTGATAGGTTGTTCCCCATAATTCTGAAGACAAGATTTGGTTCTGACACTCTGGTGTTCCTGCACTACAACAACAAAGTATTTTCTGAACTACTCATCAGTCAATCATCAGAAGAACAAAGACAAAGTGATTGATCTCTTCCAAGCTTAATACTTTAGAATCAAAAGTACATCATCAGAAGATAAAGATCAAGAAACTTAGTCAAGAAGAAAAGAGTATAATAACAGTAATATTCATAGTAGTTGTTATCCCACTGGCGTACATCATTACTGCAAGCAAGTATAGGAAAATGACGTTTCATACTGTTCTAAAACCTCTCTTGAATATATCTGTTGGGATTCAACCTTTGAAAGGAGAAAATACTTCTCTATCCTTACAACTACTCTTTTCATCTAGAGGCTATAAAAGAGGACTAAAGCTTTAAATTCAAATTGACGAAGATATTGGCAAAGAAGAACATATCTAAGTCCAAACAACAATGTTGTTCTTAATAGAAAATACCTAAAATGTTGAAGAGATAAAATTAAAAGCAAGGAGTCATTTCTCATATCTTGGTTACTAAAAAAGAAGATGAAGAAGATGAAGAAGAAGAAGAAGAAGAAGAATTCTATAAGATGATACTCAAACATCCATCATATACATCTTGGCAGAATTATGAAAAAGCAAGGAGTTGTTGCTCATAGCTTGCCCAACAAAGAAGATGAAGACAAGAAGACTACAAGATGCTGCACTTAATTTAGATTATATTCATCTATGTAAAAATATTATAAAACACAAAGAGTTTTTTCTCAGATTGTGTTATTTCTTAAGAATCTTCATGTAAATTATTTGTACACAAGAGTTGTTGCTCAGAATTGTGTCAAACAATATGTACTTAAGATATGACTAATCTATTTAATAAGAAGCACTCATGTAATCTCTAAAAAAACAACTTTGTTTAGAATTTGTGGTTCCTTAAGTGATCAAGTGAAGATCAGAAAGCTTGAGAAGACGAGTGGTTGCAGACTTCGTAGATGAAATCCTATTCTAAGGAGACTTGTTGGTCAGAATCCTTATGGTGTCAATGATCACTAACATCTTTAAGTGTATAGTGTGGGTTATAAATCTTAGGAGATCACTGGCTAAGGGTCATTGTGAGAAATCCCTCATAGAAAGATCAGGTTGGTCAGATTTCTGAGAGGGTCAATGATCGTTATATCTCTTAGAGATCACTAAACGTATCATTGTGTTGTTCCTTAAGTGGTCGAGTGAAGATCATAAGACTTGAGATGACAATGGCTGAGGTCATTGTGAAATCCTGTTAAGAAGACCAGGTAGGTCCAATTTCTTAAGGGGTCAATGGTTGTTGATCATTGTGGTTGTTAGTCAGCACTTGGTAGCCTGTGAGATTGTAATCATGATTTGGTTATAGTGGATTAATTCCTTGTTAAAGGAAAAATCACTTGAGGAGGGTAGACAAGAGTAGGCTAGTTAATGGTGAATCTAGATAACTGAATGTGTCTCTTTAATATTTACTTCATTGTATATTCTTTCGTAGTTCAATAAAATATTTTTTAAAGGGGAATATTTTCTTAAAACCCAATTCAACCCCCCCCCCCCCCCCCTTTCTTGTGTTTTTCTCTACCTTCAATAATTTACTAGATCAATGTTTTGACATCTTGTCCCACATTATAATCCTTCATCACATGCTTTAACCAGGGTTGTTTCCAACCATTTCTTCTTTTATAGAAATGCATTCACCTTCATTTGAAGATAGGTTCACACTGGTTTGTTCTTTGTTGATGTTGTTCTTCTTATCTGTCACACAACCTTTTTCCAATAGTTGTACATCTTTTCCAAATATAAATACTAATATTCTTTCAAGTTTTGTCTTCTCGTGACACCAATACTTCATTCTTTCTTTTCTATTCACCTCTTTAGGTATGATGAGCACTTTGTCTAAATCATTTTCTTTATAACTGATTTAAGCCTTCTAGTCTCTTCATGTTCTTTATAATCAGCATAGACAATATGCACTTTCTTCAAATAATTTATGGTCTTAATCACCATCATGTCACTCTCGATGTCATTCACATCTAGTATGACATCTATATTTAATTCTTTATCATTTGGTCACCATTTAACAACATGCTTGCTTCAGACTTAAAATGCACTTGTTGAACAACAAGCTCTAGAGTCTCCACTAACATTCTACATTGCACAATGTCTTCTCCATGAGAGAGAATTATCACTTGCTTATTATCTTTTATATGATCACTCTTCAAGTTGTTGACATCCATACTGACACAATTGATAATTTCCAGTACCTGGTCATTTTTTTCTTTTGTCAGAGCTTCTTTTGGATTCTCTCTTTCAGTGGTTATCCTCTCTAAATCCTTTCTCTTTAGCATGTGTATACAGGGAACAACATCTTCAATAGCTTGTATAAACTCAGCACAAACTCCATTGTTCATAGAGATAGATTCTTCATGAGCACAAACATCACTATCAATGTTGCCATTTACCTACACTACATGATCTTCTTCATGAGTTATCTTCATTATGCTGGTACAAGGAAGCTCTTTAGTTTTCAAACTCAAGCACCTATTGATAGATGTAATTTTATCATTCATCAATCCAATGAAATCAACTCTTTCATTAATTTGGGCACTCATATCATCTGAACTTAATCTATTGTCATTTCCAATCATAGTACAATAGATCTCATTCACACTTTCACCTAGAGTCTTCACCTCTTTTGATGCATGATCATAGTTGTTATAAACGACATTAGGTATGATACTATTAACCTTATCATATTCATGTACATGATCTTCATTCTCTTTATGAACTTGAGGCTTTGTCATCATGACATACGGGATGTTTGCTACATCCTTTTCATTATCAGGATTTCTCAAGTTTGTTCCCCGTGGATCTTCATCATGATGATATTTATATACCCATATCTTATTTGAACATTAATCATGTCTCCTATCTTGCAACTAGACTTTAATCCACCACTTCTAACTTTACTAAACAGTTTTGAGTCATAACAACTCTTATTCTTTGGCTGCTTATTGTAAACCATAGTATGTGTATGTTTTTCAAATTTTGGAGGACCTCCAGACTGACCATCAGCCATACCTACAATGATATCTTCTTGTTTAAGTCTAAAATAATTCTTAAGAGATTATTTATACTCCTGAGATCGATGTTGGACCATCTATTCTAATATGTTGGTTTGACTCTCCATATTAGCTTTATTAATCCTAAGGTCTTGCATACCATTGAAGTCTTCCTCAGATATGACATTCTTCATAAGATCTTATTTGCCCTTGTTGGTTACTCCTCCCTTGAAATTGTTGAAGTTCATATTCCTGCTTTGATCAAATTAACCAATTTCCTGAAGGTCTTGATTATTTCCTTTGCTCTACTGTTAATAGACACATAAGTAGTCTTTTCTTTAGACATGTCCTAGGTACCCTTATCATATAATGTCATTCTTTACTTGATAAGCCTATGTGTATTGTATAAGCTAATGATCCAATAGTTTTAACATTGTGTTTCCTCTTCTTCCTAGTACGGGCTTCCTTTCATCTTTTGATCTTCAATAGTTAATAACAATAAGGCCTTGTATGTCCATATTTTCCACAATGGTGACATATTACAGGTTGTTTCTTGTTACTATGGTGAAGAGATTACACATGTTGAGCACGACGCTGAGACATATGGTTTTACATCAAAAGCTTAGTCTTTTTCAGGTATAATAACTTTCTCTGCAGAAATCTTCATCTCTTTCATGATCATATCAAGATATATTCTATTTATATCACTGGACATCTCTCCAAACTCCATCGACCCATCAAAAGAATTTGAGCTAGTTTTCAATTTTTTTTCCAACTGTATCAAATTATCTACTTTGGAGTTTAATGAAGAAACCACTTTTTGCAACACTTGATATGGTTAATGCTAGCTTCGCTGAATACTTTTGAAGTCCACCAATAGTTTTCTTCTGAATTTCTATTCTAAAGCAAGCTTCTTTCCACTTGTAATTAAAAATTATGAAGGATGTAGCAAACTCTTCTTCATACAGGTCATCAATACTAGATACATTTGAATATTCTCATCTTCTTAAATAATCCATAACATTGTAGGAAGTTTCTCCCTCACCTTCACTATCAGAATCAAACCAAGTGATAGTGTTGTACCCCCATAATTTTCCCTCCCATTTCCTTCAAGACATTCTTTCAAGTCTTCTCAAAACACTCAAGGGTTGACTAGTCAAGATGCACCTCCTAAACCAAAGGCCTAGGACTAGGATTTGGAGTTTCTCAAATAAATTTGGTTTGAAAAGGTCACAAGTGGATTCCATGTTTATTCATAGGTCCTTAACAAGGTTCATGTCAAGTTTCAAGCCCTACATCACAAGTTTGCTCGGTCAATGACTCAAATGATTGAAAATTAATTGTATTGGTCAAAAAGTCAATTGTGGTCAACATACCGTCAAACTTCAAGATTTTTGGTCAACATAAACATTTTTAAGTGATATTCATCATTTCATCAAGGGTTGATCATGATTCCTCAAGGAAATTCCTCAGATAATCAAAAGTCAAGAATTTCCAAATTAGGGTTTTCCTTAGGAGAAGTCAATTGAGCTTTGACCAGGCATAACTTTCACATGCTTCATCAACTTTTCCCTAAAAAATATCATTTTGCAGAAAATTAAATTCTCTACAACTTTGTTTTTATGCTCAAGTCCAAAAAATTCTTCATTTGAAAGATATAAGCTAAAACATTATAGGTCATTTTCAAAAGTCACCAAAAAACATTTTTTGTCAAGGCAACTTACGTCAAGATAAATTCTTCAAAAGCAAAAATGATCAACATATAGATTGTAGAGGACATCTTGAAATTTCTAAAAAATCCAGGATCATCTTCAAAAGATGAAAATTGAGAAAATTATGAGTTGCACAAGTTGGGTGATTTTGAAGAAATTCATGAAATGCAAATGGAGCAAAATTGAAATTTTGAACTAACGGGCCTAGTTTTTGATATTCAAACATGTTTATAAGATGTGATAGGACCTCTAAAAAACATTCACACATTCTCATTATTTTTATTGCTTTTATTTGATTTTTTATTCATTTAAAAATGAATAAAATTGCATAAAAAGACGAAAATAGAGTGTGAAGACTTGGGCCTTTGGATTTCAAACCTTTTGCAAGCCCAACAAATTCGTGAAATCCATGCCACAATATGTTCAGGTTCATGCAAATTCAAAAGAGGCAAGCAATATCTCAAAGATGGCAAGTTTTCAATGTGTTGGATTTTTGTTTCATAAGGCATGAATGCATTTTTTTCTTCCATATTAGTTCACCCTTACCCTCCTATTTCACTCTATAAATACACAATACACTTAGAAGCAATGGACCACGAAATCCTTGCATACAAGAGACCTCTCAAAATTCTCAAAAATCAGAGAAAAGTTGCAAAATTTGTAACTTCACTTCCAGGCGCTCTCAATTTAGAGTCCAGATTCAACCCCTAAGCATCCCAGATCATCCTCATAACCATGCCACATTTTTTGGTAAAATTTTGAATCTCAAACTCTCTTATCAGGTAATTTAAATCAGTTTTATGCATACATTCTTATTACTATTGATGTTTTGAGCGAATCTAATGTCTTACATGTAAGCATGGATGTGGGAATTCAGATGCATTAGATCAAACGAAGCTCTTGGGCTCAGTTGTCTTGGGCCTAGCCAAACTTGGGACTGCACCCCTCATTTCCTTTTGCAAACACCTGGGCCTGAGATGTTGGGCCTTGCAAAATCTGATTACTCACCCCCTAACATTTTTTTGCAGCAGCTCATTTATATTTATTTTTTTTATTTTATTATTTCATTTACTATTTTATTCTCTTCTTTCAATTAATTCTTTTTTATTAAAAATCATAAAAAATCAGAAAATCAGAAAATCACAAAAATAGTAGATTTAAGTTTTTATTAATTAAATTAATCAATCATTTAATCACCTTTTTTAATTAATTAACTAATTATAATTAGGTTCTCATAATTTAATTATTTTTTATAAACAAAAATTAAAAAACAACAAAAACATTTTCCTCCACTTAAGATTTTTTAGGTTTTCTTTGCATCTTTCTCTTTTCTTCCCCGCGCATTTATTTATTCGCATTATTTTCACAAATATGTAATTGTACATGGGATATAATAGACTTTAACTAGGACCTTTTTACTTTTTCTTTCCCCCATTTTTTGGTTTGTAATTCCCCCCATCCTGAAAAATCGTAATAGCGTAGATTCAATTTTCCGCACTTTATTTTTCGTACTTATATACAATTAACTGCTGGATGTATGCTAATAGGCTTGTATGGAAAGACTAAAAGCAAACGTTAGCAAACCTAACACTCAAGATAAACATAACAGAAACACAGCATACTCGCACACACGCATTGCTAAGGTACCTCCACTCGTTGTCTTCGAAATAAAACAGTCACGTCTCTCGAACGTAAGAGATTTTAGCAGCGACCCTTTGGTTTAAAAGATCATAAGTCCTTCGATGACCCTTTTGACGTTGCCTCGGTAAATGATTTTAAGACCTTAGAGTAATTGGTAAAGTATCTTACGAGTTGCCTTCGTGACTGTACGATGACCCTTGCTTGTCCCTCAAAACATCCAACGATAGGGCTACCTACTGACTAATAGTAGGATAGCATTGTCTAAAGGAAAAGAGGAAAAGAACAAAGATCGTTCGAGTAGGTAGATAGTTCATAGTTGCTTGCTCACAAAAACAAACAAAATAATTTTTTCACACATACACTCTCTTTTTCTAAATATTTTCAAAGACAAAACACTTTGTATACGTTCTCAACAATATGAGAAACATTACAAAGTTCTCCGCACTATGGCGTCTTTTCAAAAATATTTTTAAATGCACTTACACAAAAAAGCATTTTCAAAGTGAGCTAGCAACTAAAAACCCGTAGATAACTACGGATGGAAAGGGTACTAACAACTTCCCTTTCCATAATCTACCCCCCGAACTCAAATTCTTTAAAAAGGTCTTTCCTGTTCTTTTCACTCTTTCGTTTGTTGGATAAAAGAAAAGTCGGTGGTGACTCTTGCTAAACGCAACATTTGCGATAAAAACGCAAAACCAGTAAAGTCAGTCTTCCAACCGTATTACAGATAGATAATCCCTTTTTTGTCTCTTTATAAAGGTATGACCTTATGCTTTAATATGTCCATAGCCTTCACATTCATAACACTTAGTACCCTTGCCATCATTGGATTCTTCTTCACCATTACCTTCATTTTGGGGACTGATGTTGAACTTGTCTTGGACATTTGTCCTCCACTTCCTATCCAAGTAATTCAAGTAATTATTAAACTTTTCCCAAGAAGATAAATAACATCTGACATGCTCCCCTTTTTATCATCGTGACTTTCTTCCTCCCGAGTGTTGGAAACAAAGGTTATTCGTTTCTTTTTCTTTTCAACCCTATCATTGACGGATATATCAAAGGTTTGTAAGGAACCAATGAGTTCATCAACCTTGATGTTGCTCAAGTCCCGAGCTTCCTCAATAGCGGTCACTTTCATATTAAACCTCTTAGGCAATTATCTAAATAAGTTTCTAGAAAGCTTTTCTTTAGACATATTTTCTCTTAAGGAGAAGGAAGTATTATAAATATCATGCAATTTTATGTGGTATTCACTAATAGACTCATCTTCATTCATCCTCAGATTCTCAAACATGGTGGTAAGTAGTTGCAGCCTTAACATATGAACTATATATGTATCTTCATGATCAGTCTTGATAATATCTCGTGCTTTTTAAACCTTTGAAC